AGGACTATTCTGGTCTCCTTGGGAATGTCCTCCTTGGGCCTATGGTCTGAAAACTGTCTCCAAGAATCAAGATGAGACGATTACAGTGTTCACTCATTTGTTTCCTTTTCTGAATGTCAGACTCCTAAGCTTTCTTTTCCAATGTTTGAAAATGTTGTTTCTGCCCAGTTTTGTCCCGTTTTCTAGGGACAAAAGCATGTCAATGCCCATACTAGGACCAACAGAAGCTGAGGTGCCAGAATATTTTTATGTATAATGAAATTGGAGTGCTCTTACAGTTCTTACAGTGTTTCACAAACTTGCCTTTGATAAAAATCACCTTAGTACGTTTATTTTTTTAAATACAGTTTCCAAGCCTCCATTCCTGGAGTTTTTAATTCAGTAGGTTCAAGGTAAGGTCAAATTTTTACTATCAGAGTAGCCTATAGGGTACTTCAAAGAATAAAGGCACCAAGACTATCCCCCCTTTTTTTGTATTCTGGTGTCAGACTAAAATGACAGGCCTTCTTTGACCATGATTCATTACATCTTGTCTTTTATTCTATGTTAACATACCCATTTATGATCCTCACAGCACTAAAACAAATACATAATAACTTAATTTGTTTTTATTTTTCAATTCTTTCCCAGCCACGAGACTGATGACAGAATTCATCTTGTCCCCTATTGAGCATCTATAATGTACCAAAATGACTTGCTCAAAGTAAGAGATTACTGTTTATGGAATAAATAAATGACTGAACTTAAGTTCTGTGAGCTTATTTATACACATAAACACACACACATTCAAAATAAAGAAGGTCATCTTTTCATATGGTATGGAAGGCACCTCTTCAAAGTGTAGCATATTTGATTTAATTTCAATAAAATACACCAATGTACATACTTCTAGATTCCAATAAAATTCTCATGAAATATTCATGAAAGCTAGCACCACCACCACCTACCAGACACTTTCTAATGTACGATTTTGCAATGTTTAAAAATTTCACATTACTCTTCTGCTCTGTAAACCAGAAGCTGTATTTTATAGTTACTATTGACATCAAACATGATATGCAACTGGGTATATTTTTGTAAGTGTATATAACCATGTAACCACTAAGTCAAAATATAGGACAGTTTCCTACCCTAAAATGTTTTTAAAGTTAACATTACACATTGGTAATATTAACAACAAGATATCTATGGTAAAGAGAAAATAAAATATCATATGAAATATTTTAATGTGTACAATAAAAACCTATTCATTTATTAAATAGTAAGATTTCTCTGGTCATCCCACATCTTTTCCCTTTATAGATAATACTACAAACTTGTATTCAGAGAAGCATATTCTTTTGCAAGCACTGGAGTACTGCTAGGGCAGAAGGATATAGAAGAGTTTATATACGTACATAAATACACACACACACACACACACACACACACACACACACACTCATATTATATCCTAGGTTCAAAAGTATAAAGAATCACATTTAGACCTTTTTCTTATATTTTCCTTTAAACGAAACCTAAAATGAAATGACTCTAGTTAATTGGCTGTCTATTCTGTTGCAAGCACAGCAAATAATAGCCTTTTATGTGAGAACTGGAAATGGCTGTTCCAGCCCTAAGAACCTGAAAGGAATCACACTGTCAGTCTGCTACCCCACTGCAATTGTGAACTGCCAAAGGCAGGAAGGAACGGTGTTGTACAATCAGAGGAAGCAAAAGCCTAGCTTCCCACTCCTGCCTGCTTCCCTGACCCTTCACGCATACACAAATGGCAATAGCGTTGTGTCCCTTCTGTGTACATAACATTAAAGAGTTAACAGCTGAACAAACAGAAACCACTCACTCGTTCCAACTCATCTTTCTATCATCCTATGTTTCTTTTTCTCATGACAAGCCTTCTATTACATACTAGATGAAAGGATAAAAAACAGAATAATCAATAACACGTGACATATGAAAGTAGTATTTATGTCTATGAAAACCACTTCGGTGTCCTAAAATGTGTGGTTGAGAGGTTTTCTGATTATTTACTGAATTTTTGTGCTTTCAGATACCACCTGTAATTGCCAGTCTTTGATCTTCTGAAAGGGATATAATTTTAAAGAGAAAAATTGCTATAATTGAGAAGCAATGAGAGAATGCAATGTCATTATTAAGAACGAACAAATCAGGGCCAATTCAGATGAATAATAGAATGCATTCTGTACTACCACCGTGAAAGGAGCAATTACAGCTAGGATTGATTATGAGGGAAAGGGTCTTTTAACAGAAAGATGTCCCACCTCTGATTTCTGATAGGAGGTATCCTAGTCAAATAGCTGCTGAGAGAGAAGTCTATATTTCCTTAAATAGTTAAAATGTAGTTATTCAGTCAACCAAGAAGGGGAAAATTACAGTTAAACCTGTTCTTCCCTTTGTATTCATATGTAGCAAAGGATTAATATAAGAGTAACTTAACTCAATTTGGGCTGGGTTTTTTTTTTTTTTTGGTCTCCTGGTTCAGATGATAAGCATATGCACAAACCTCTTTCTTCATACAGACCCTCAAGAGTAGACACTAGGAATTAAAGGATGTACCAGGTAAAAAGTGGTACTTTACTAAATAGGTCAGTCAATAGGGAGGCAATAGGCAGAAAGGAATGTAAGATATCGCAAAATGAGATCTAAATAAAAAGAAACATAAAACACTGGTTCTTGTTCTATGCCTCTATCATTAGAAAAATCTTGAATAGTATGACAATAAAAATTCCCACAGAAGTTCTGTAAAAAAGCAAATGAGCAAACAAAGCAAAAAACAAAAACAAAACAACAACAACAAAAACCCCCTTTCTACTCCTTCTCTTACTAGGTAATTTCATTCAAATGTACAGATGGAGGACCAGAAATTCATCTAAACCTGGACAACATTTAGTCTAAAAATGAACATACAGAGAATTAAGAAGGGAATAACTCCTAAACCAAATATTGTATGCTGTCATGCTCAAATATTTATAGGATAACAAAATAAATAAAAAAGGAAAGAAAAAAATTGTATCAAAAAGTTTTTAAAAAATCAAAAATCACAACTAAAAATAGACTGGTTGGCAAGGTCTGGGGCAACATCATTCTTAAGATTTCAATTCTGGCTTGAAATATAAGTGAAATGATTTTTCCTGGTGAAAAGTCCCTGTGCAGGAGTTTGCATAGGCGGGTACAGTTTTCAGCACATGCCAGGTTTACAACGAGGGCTGTCACTCACTACTCTGATACACCCCCTCCACTGGATTACATATGCAGACTCATATTTGAAGCCCAGTGTTGTTAGCATGATCCTCTGGGTAACACCAACCCCTCTGTGACCACTTTTTGAATATACTCATGCAAAATAATTTATTGGGGCTTTATTATGATAAGAGGTATAATTAGTAGTCATTTTGTAGCACAAACTATTGATGCCACAAGCCAATTTTCTGAAAGTGCCTCTAACACAGCACCTGCACCATTCATGTTTATAAATCAGGTAATTGTACATCTAGCCACTTATGTGTACATGTAATTACTCTAATTTACATATGCAGAGTAATAGTCTTATACATACAGTTTGCCAACTTCTTGCTTGCTTTATGCCTTCACCCCCATTTCCTAAGTTCAGCTAGATCAGATTCCTAAAATATCATCTTATTAAACTTCATCTATTATTTTTTCTTAAGCCATGTAGGGATATTTCCATCTGATAATAAAACATAAGGGCAAAGTTCCAAGTCCCTGTGTTACAACTCTACTGATTTGCTGTACCAGGATGCCACTTTACTTGCACCAAATGTTCCCAAACCATTTTAATCAGTCTTTTCTGTTCTCTCAAAACAATATTCAACTATGAGTAGGAGTCTCCAACTCTCACCTAATTCCAAATGCTAACATTGAGAAATGCCAATGTAACGAAAGAGGAATTTGATAGGTTAAAAGATGATGACTGGTCTCATTCAATATTTCTAAGCTCTGGGCCAAGATTCATACCTTGTTTCCTTGCCAATTAGGCCTATATTAGCCAGAGTCTCTGTTTAAATGCTAATCTGTCCATTATCCTACATGTACAAAAATTAAAAATGCATTATTGAAAATGCTTTGAGAAGATACACAAAATTTTATTCAAGACTACACTAAGGATTTACACAGCATTACATCTCAAATATACAAATGCAAACAAGACATAAAACCTTTAAAATTCACCACTAATGTAAGGCTAAATGGTTTAAGTTCATAATTTGTGTTCTATGACTTGGATAAATAAATTTAGATGAATAAATTTATCTTTGTTTCATGTGTGATTTCACTACCTTAAACTACAGAAATATAAAATTATTTTGCAATCGTAAACAAATTGCTATATTTTAAAGACCATAAATGGTTATCTAAATTTTTTTTAATTTTTTAAAATAATACAATATAAAGATTCAGATGGCAATAAGGCTATTGAAAATACTGTTATATTTTGGAAGGCTTATTCAGTGTTAACACCATTATTAGTAAGTTTACTTCCCCATAAATGTAAATACCTGGTACTGTAGTTTAAGCCATTAGCAGTCAATAAAGACAGAAAAAGAAAATTGTAGCTGTTTTTGACAAATGAAGTCTCACTTAACATTAACTTTCTCTTACACCCAACCACCTGGGTACAGATTCAGCCACGTTAACTGAACAAAATGTAGATGAATCAATATATATTATGACAAAATCCCTTTTAACTGCAGGAAAAAAATAAGATCAATTTCCTCAGCATTTTATTGGGGACTCATTTCCTTTTAATCTTTAGTCGTCTTTGTAGATGTTTAATTTCATGACGTGTATCTGAAGATAACAAGGCCAGAACTGGCAACAGCATTCAACTAGGGACATGATCAGACAGGAAGACACAAAGAAGCATTTGAAGCATTTGATGGTGTCAATGTTGTGTGTACATGAAATCATTCCAAGACCGCACGTCAAATTTCCACCCACAGAAGTAATGCTAAAACACTTACCTCAAGAACCAGCCATAGCTTATCTCCATTTATTTTATCCTTCTTAAAATAAATCCCATAGAATTTGACCACATTAGGATGGTCAGAAAGCGCTTTTAAAATATTATACTCTGCTTCAATCTCTTCATCAATATCCTAGTTTCAAAAAAATCATAAGAAGAGAACTGTGAGAAAAATATGAATAATGTCAAAGAAACACATTCAGCTATCAGATATAGAATTTAATTTTGTTAAAGCAAAATCATAATAGTCTGAATTGTGCTTAGTACTATCTATTGAAATTTCTCTTACATTAAGAGGAAAGATTGTGACTTTCATGCTAATCAAATGCATCTCAAATTATATTAATTGAAATGAATTTAAACAGGAACAAATAAAAGGCTACCTTTAGACAGTGAGTCGTGTGTGTGTGTGTGTGTGTGTGTGTGTGTGTTGCTGAGGACTGAACTCAGGGCCTCATGCATGCAAGGCAAGCATTCTACCAACTGAACTATTTCCCCCCAGCAATAAAAGGCTACTTTTAAATGTAGTAGGAGGACTAATCCAGGTGATTGTGGTTTCACTTCATCAGTAACTGTGTTAACAAAGTAACAAAGACATTGCTTTGAAATAAAAACTTTCAGGAATAGAAAGTGAGTTTATTTTATTACTTTGGAATATAAGATATTGAAAAGCTATTTAAGACCAGTCAAGCAAGCAATAAATTCCTGTTTCCAAAAAAGTGAAATAAAGTTAAATTATAAAAGATGGAACATAATTTTGAGTTAATTAATGGTACATTTGCCAGAAGTAGAACAATTTGCTTGTGTGTGGGGGGGGAGGGGTACTAGAGATTAAACCTAGGGGCACGTAATCACTGAGCCACATCTTCAGCCCTTCTTGTATTTTGTTTAGAGACAGGGTCTCATTGAGTTGCTTAGGCCCTTGCTGAATTGCTGAAGCTGGCTTTGAACTCTCAATCCTCCTGCCTTAACCTCTCAAGCAGTTAGGATTACAGGTGTGCATCAGCATGCCTGGCTCAGTTTGCTACTTTAATAAAAATGCACTATAGCCACTTATGTTTCTAGAAAATTGCATATTTGTGAAGTACCTCAGAGTAATAAATAAGAAAAACCCTCACTGATATTGCTCTTAGAGTGACATTTAATGTCTGTGTTGTTTTATCACAGAATCATGGAATCATAGAAGTAGAAAGAAATGGGTACCTGAGCTCTAATTGTAAAGGAAGAAAGTCAAGCTCAGAGAAATTAGTCAGCCAGTTTGTGTAAAATCCAGGTCTGGACACTAAATCTGGACACCACTGTCCAGTTCTGCTCATTCAATCCTTTCCTTGCAGAGAAAATTAATAATTAAATATACATAATAGTAACGTGCCCTTATTTTAAAGAAATCCAACTTTTATAAAATTCATGAATGCATTTAAATGTATTTAAGATGATGATATCTCAATTATAAATCTTTTTATTTGACTTGTGACATGATGAATGAAGAGTAAATAAGTAATTCTTAGGAAAACATATAGGTACTGCAACAAGAATAAGAGCAGCAAAAGAATAAATATAGTACTATGCAGTAGTTATCATATCATTAAAATAGTAAAGAAGTTGATTTACAAGGTTTCTAAGTAGAGGTGAGTAAAGTATGACCACAAACGCTGCATGTATTATAAGCCACTTATTCTTCCTAATCAGAAAGAAAAGGAAAGAGAGAAACACATTCATTATGGGCCAGACATCTTGCTATCGAACTCCAATGCTAACAGCAAAAGCCAGAGGAAATAAAGAGGCAGAGTCCTTTTGATGCAGTAGAACTTGTGCCTCTCTTTACTCTTTAATAGTAAAACTGACCTACATAAGAAACATGAAGACAGTTCAGTTAAGCCTGGGCATAGTGCTTCCCACATTGTTCATCTAGTGTGTCTAATTTATTAATTTAAAATAGATCTTCTTTTTCCTTTCCTCTGCTTAAAATAATATGCTAGAGTGAAGTTATAATGAATTTAGCAGAAATAAACTATCAAAAAAAAAACTTAAGAAGAATAAATGAAGCACCAGAGACCTTTTGCAGTGTTCTAGTGTAGTTAGTGGATGCCCTGTGATAAGGACCTAGGACTCTGCTACTTTCCTCGCATACTTTTTCATCATTTCTATCATGCTTCCACAATGTGTTCATGTCTCCTAACTGAAGAAGTTGCTCTCAAGAGGAGTTCAGGGAGTATGTGATAATTGAGCTCCTTGTAACCCACCCTTGTGCCATGGGACAGCTAGGTTGTGAGGGGCAAGGGGGAGGGAAAAAAAGGGGAGAGAATTGAACAACAGCAGAGGAGATAGAGAGGGAAGAAGGGAGGGGAAGGGAGGGGAGGGGAGGGGAGGGAGGATAGTAGGGGATATAGGAATGGTAGCAGAATACAACAGTCACTAATATGCCATTATGTAAAAATGTGAGTGTGTCACTGATGTGATTCTGCAATTTGTATTTGGGGTAAAAATGGGAGTTCAAAACCCAATTGAGTCAAATGTATGAAAGATGATATATCATGAGCTCTGTAATGTTTTCAACAATCAATAAAAAAAAAAAAAACTGTTTTGCCCCGAAAACAATGGAGGGAGACTCCTCCTCGAGGATTTTATAGCACTAACTAGGAGAACTAAACAGGAAATTCAATTCCTCACAATTAGAAACCTCACTCTGATTATAGACCAACACCATTTCTACTCTGGAAACATTTAAGCAAATCTGAAAATTAATTTCCCTTCTCTAAGAAATGTAATTTTTTTTTAAAAAAAATTGTCTTTGGTTTGGCTTACAAGAAATTCTGTCTGAAGCCTAATTGAATGCAGGAAGAAAGAAAGCTCTGGTTAAAATAATATTTTAGGGTTACTTTTTTTAGACACAATTTTTTACAAGATTTTGAAATCTAAAATGATACTAAACCAACTGCTGAGCTGTTGAGCATGACATTTACTTGTTTATGCAATTGTTCTTTATCAAGTACTTATTGTGCCTTATTTTATATGTAAAGTACATAAATCAGGAAAATCAAACAAGTAGGCTTTTTCATATTTTTTAAAAAATGTAATCTGGTTTAGAATGACATTGTGATGAATAACTACTGGCAGACTTTTTAAATGTTTAAAACAGATAAGATTAAAGTTAATTAGGGGGAAAAGCCAAAATTTACTTACGTGAATTGGATCCAGAATTTTGACTGCTGCTTTTTGGCCATTTTTCTTATTCAACACTTTAAAAACTTTCCCATATGTTCCTTTGCCAATAGTTTCAGTGATTTCCCATGTATCAGAAGGATCAGGAAAGTTATCAAAGATGATTGTTTTTCCAATTAATGGAAACATCTCTTGGGCTTAAATCACTGGAGAGAAAAAGTACAGTTTTACCTGCTTGTGACTGGAGATATTAAGCGGCACATAAGCTCTTGGGAAATTAATAATTTCACTGATAGGATAAAAAATATACAAGAGTAACCAAATGTTCTTCACAAAGAAAAGTTTAATTTCTTAATATGAGCTTAATAACGCTTTGCAAGCAGACTTTTATTTCTATATTTAATATGGCTTTATATTAACTGCTATTAATTCTTTTCAGATTAAAGAAACATATTTATAGTATTTTGATTTACTTCTTTATATTCAGATATTATAATGAATCAATGAACTTTATATATAATTTTACAGATGATAAAGTTCAATTTCCTCATTTATGCAAATCCTTTTATTATTATTTTTTTAATTTGTTCTTTATAGTTATACATGACAGCAGAATGTATTTTGGCAAATTGTACATACATAGAGTATAACTTATTCTATTTAGGATCCCGTTCTGGTGGTTGTACATGATGCAGAGTTACCCTGGTCGTGTATTCCAATACAAGGCTAGGAAAGTTATGGCTAATTAATTCCTATTCCCCTCTTCCTTCCCTTCCCTTTGTTCCCCTTTGTCTAATCCATTGGGAAAATCCTATACATTATAAATGATAACATTTTTATATGTCACTTTTCTATGTGAAACCTAATAATGGTTCCTCTCACTGCTTTTAGGATGAAAGTTTATTAACACAGCCTAACAGATCCCTTACAATATAACCACTGCTTAATTTTCTAGCCTCATCTCCTGATGCCTCATCTCTCATACATTATGATCCAGCTGCTCTGGATCCATCAGGTCCTCTCCTTCTTGCTTTAGGGTCTTAATATATGCCATCCCCTCCCACCTCTGCCTGTGGCTTCTTTGCTAAATTCTAACACTTAGTTATCTTTAAGGTTTCAGCTTAGATATCATTTCCTCCAAATGCGAACACTCTCCATCTGTTTGAGTTTCATGCCCTACCTCTGCAATCTAGTAGCACGATGTACTGCTTTCTGACATAATTACATGCGTCTAGCACCTGGCAGACGGCTAAAATGATTTTTGATTAATTAACTAATTGATTAGAATAACATGGTCAGTGAGGTCATTTATCAACATCATTGTCAATAATATCAACATCTGATATCATTACTGTATTTGTACATCATAAATATAATACACTATATTTAAAATGTACAAATATATAAATGACATCATGTATTATTTATGATAGAAGATATTATTTGCAAAAAAGGATATCTGATACCATCACTGTATGCCTAGCACCTGGTAAGTGCTAGAATACTTAGTCAAATGAATTAAGGAAATAATCAATAAGTTTAAGTGATTTCGTAAAACAGATTTTACAGATAACCTAAGATAAGATCCCAGGTTTCCTGACTTCCAAGTAAAGTTCTTTACCTCCACATTCTTTCTATATTACATTCAACTATTTCTATAAAATTACAGGAAAGTGGGGAGGCTTTAAAAAAAAAAAAGGAAAGTTCTCTTATCATTTTTGGTAGCCCTCACATTTTCTCATTTACCTACACAAAAACACACATACTCTTTCAATGTTAGAAATTTGACCACGGTTGTCTTTGTATTAATTTGCATATACTGAAATATATCTATTCCTAGATATGTACTAATAATCTATAATATCAAGCCATGCTCTTCACTTGTGTGATGACTTCATCCACATCACCAGTCCATCCATTCACCACTTTCTTTAGGGTCACCAACCCTCTTCAGTCTTTACTCCCTCCTCATTTTCTCCTTTCCCAGAATAGAGCCTAAGGCTTCTATTAGTAGAAATGCCCTCAACACGCCTTTCTTTCTCTACCACCATCTCATAGGGAAAAAAAAAACACAAAACAAAAAAACACAACTCTGGCACAAAGATGGTAGAACAGATCTAGGCCATAACTCTCTACTCCTCTACAGCCCAGAGGAAAAAAAGCAGAGAACCAACAGCTGCCCACAGAGGTGGGTGACAGAGAACACTAAACACTGGGCTGCCTGAGACTTGGGGAGGGATCTGGAATTTGGTTACCAAAGCAGAGAATAAGACAAAACGCCCCTTACTCTGAATGCTGACCAGGATACAGTCAGGGAGAAAGGTAACCAAGAAAGAAAGAGGGAGAGGAAAAGCCCCTGAGCTTACTTCCTTAACAGTAGAAGAAAAGTGGACCAAGTTAAAACAGGAAAGAAGCAACAAAGAGTGAAGATCACGAGTTCAGCCCAGATTATAGGCTGGAAGGTGTGCCGGGCAGGACAGGGCAGCCATTTTGTAGAGGCCACAGTTAGCCAGAATCCCTAGAAGAAATTAGGTCAATACAGCTTCTCCCCACTTCTACACAGTAACAGATGAAACCAGAGGGAATACCTCTGAAATGGGTTGTCTTAATAAACTGTCTAGAAGGAGCCTGTTGAGGGATCACGAGTAGCTGAAGACTGTGGAAACCTCTCCCCGTCACCGTGGACAAGGGAAATGGGGAGAAACTTTCCCAAGATCTAATCACTCCTGGGAGTACTAACCCCAGTCCAGTGCTCCCAACAACCTCCCCAGCATCAAAGATGAAGACCCTACCTATGTCACTGGGACAAGTAAAACCCTGGTGATCTGCAGCAAAGAGGAAAGAGGCTTCTGTGCCTCAGACCACCTACAGAGAGCCTGAACCTACAGGTCCCACAGCTGCAGACAGCCACCAAGGGCTACAAAGAAGTTCCAGCAGAGGAGAGCTGGCACCTATTGATTCACAATTACCAGCCATCAGTCATAGGAGCTCAAATAAAGGTGGGCCAACTGACCTCGACTCCAGTCATGAAACAGTACCCAGGTGATTGACATCAGCCTGGGTGGAGGCATCTGTGCCACAGGCCACCCATAGAGAGCCTACAGTCACCGGCCCCATAGTTGCAGGTAGCCATTAAGCTCTATGCTGCTATATATAAAAGCTCCTGGGGAAGGCAGAAGGTATTCAGCATCCCACAGCGGATAGTGACAACCCTAAGCCCTGCACCCTACACCCCCACACCTAATATAAACAGCCAGCAGATGCAGCACCCCTAAGCATACAGACTTAGGCCTCTGGGCTGACAAACAAGTACCCGCTGGTAAGAAAACCACAGCAGCCCGGTAAGTAGCTCCTGTGCCCCAGTATCCTGTAGGAGGGTACAGAGCTGCGAGTCCCAGAGTGTCAATTTTCACTCAGACACATGGACCCATAGAAGGCATTCTCTGAGGACAACCCCAAGCAGTCAATGGACAACTTTGTGCATCCACAACGGCAATCAACCCCACAAATTGCTTAGAGAGGAGCATTCCACAGACACCAGCCAGTGTTCCCACACACACACCCATTGACCTGCAAAGTGTGCACTCTGAAGGGATCACCAACCTTATACTCTCTCACAGGGCTACCCAGAACCACATCCAAGAGACTATAATACCTCTGCCTCAGACCATCACACCCCACATGCTCTGAAATATACACTGGGGAACCCACATCAGATTTGAAAGTGCTAGAAACACAAAGATTTCAATTTGTGGGAAATAAAGTGATTAATTCAGGCAAACAAACAAACCAACCGTGTTTTCTACAGGAGGGAACACAAGACTGCATCCTGTGACAGGGAATAACCTGTCTGCTAATTCACAGACAACTAGGGATCATCTCCTCTGGTGTGAAAGAAAGCTTATAAGTACCAAAGATCAGAGGAGCCTCCTAGAAATGTATTAAAGATGAGTTGTGATTGATATCTCCACACCTAAAGGAACTCAGAGGAAAATGGGCATCTTCTAAAGGTCCAAAATACTGATGAATCCAAACCAGGAAGACTCAGTAAGAAATCTCTCAGTTCAGCTTGCATTATCATAAATATCACTAATGTCAATTTTGATCTTAAAGATATTACTTTTCATATTGAATTGACAGATGGGTCCCTATTATTCAATACTGCAGCACTCAATCCATTTGATTGTATTGCTTCTGATGTCTTAAAGCATTAACTGGTATCGTTCTTTGTTTTTTTTAGCTCAGCTTTACACTTGCTCTTCATGGTCTCTCTTTTCCATCTTACATTACCTGTTACTTCCTGGAACCCCACTCCAGCTTGTATTTTCTTCTGTCTTTCCTCCTCCTTTTTTTTTCCTCTTTAGCCACTGTTCTCCTCTTTTTAATCCCTCTATAGTAATAGTAATTTTGTAATAATGTAATAGTAATTTTGCTACCTTTAATAACTAATTTCTCAGCCACTTCAAGAACATTACTATAATTTTATATCCTGATTAGAGGAACTGGGAAGAACATTTTCACTGTTTTTCCCCCCTAAGATTTATGAGTACATTGCTTTTCTCTAAAGCAATTGTTGCTAATAGAGCTTAGTAGCTTCTCTCAGTGATACTGATACTGCGAACAGCAGAAGATATATGTTGAATGGGAGTATCGATACCTGAGTATTAAACCAGCCTGGAGCACTTATTAGAAAGAAGTTCACTGAATACTCCTTTGCATAAAAGTAGAAAAAATAATCATCCCAGAAATAAGCTCCCCAAAGCCCACAACATTCCAACAACTTATCCCATTGACATGGCAATGAAGTAAGTGTCAGAGTAAGAATTTAGGAAGTTCAAGTTAAAATATTCAATGAGAAAAAGAAGATGTAACGAATAAGTTAAGAGAAAAATACAGTAAGTGAAATATAGTTCCAATATGAAGAAATTCTAAAAAAAAATTAAAACAGAAATCCTGAAAATAAAAGACTCAATAAATCAAATTAAAAATTCGGTTGAAAGCATCACCAATAGATTAGATGACAAAGATGACACAGATTCTTAGGCCTCAGAGACAAAGTGCATAATCTTGAAAATGAAGTCAAAAATAAAGAAAAGATGGTAAGGGTCAATGACCAGATTATTCAAGAAATGTGAGATAATATTAAGAAACCAAATCTAAGAATCACTGAAGTAGAGGAAAGTACCAAAATACAAATTAAAGGAAT